AATGCAAAAAAGGGGCAGTTCTTAAAGCCAAAAAACAAACAAAAAAAAAAAAAAAAAAAACTGTAAAAAAAAATTCTAAATATAAATAAATACTATAATCATATTTAAATAATACTAAATTACTATATTACGTTACAAAAAAATATTTTTTAGTTTACGCAAAGCACACTATAGCTCCTCTTGTGGCAACATACCAAGTACTTAGTGTTGCTGTTTTTAAATACAACTAAAAACTAAAACTACTGAAATCGGAAATAAAATATTAGATGAAAAACTATTAGACGAAACACAAATTTTTTCTTTTGTTAGTTGCCAAAGGCAACATTTAAAATGGTTGCAAAGTTACTAAAGTTACTAAAACGGAAACTGAAATAGTAAAAAAAAAAAAAAAAAAAAAAAAAAAAAAAAAAAAAAAAATTACCATATAATAAAATTACTAAAACTACATTTAAAATAAAAACTGTAAAACAAATACATTAAAAATTAATAAATAATCAAAATATTAATAAATACTTTAAGTGTGCATGAATAATACTAAAATTGCACCGGTACTATAATATGTTACAAAACATTCATTTTTAGTTTACGCAATGCACACTATAGCTACCCTTGTGGCAACACCTCAGAAATGTAGTGTTATGTTTAACTAAAACTGCTGAAATAAAATAGAAATATTACATGAAAAACTTCAAATTTACTTAATCATTTATTTCAGTTAGTTGCCATGGCAACATTTCAAATTTTTAAGTGGAAATACTAGTTAAAACAAACTGAAATAAAAATAAATCTAAATAAAAAAATTACTTCAATTTAAACTAAAAATTGGAAAATTAAAAATAAATAAAAATAAACTTAAAATATAATAGAATAAACTATAAAATAGTAGTTAATTCAAAATATTAATAAATACTATAACTGTAAATGAAAAAACTGGCACTATGTACATTTTACAACATCTGGATTCACATACTAGCATACAAATGATAAAAATAGTAATAGTAGTATGCTAGTGTGTGATTGCCTTACGACTCATACCTTGCATAGAACTCTCAGAGGGAGTAGTCTGTGTAGTTGGCGTGTCCTCATGCCCTTCCATCGGAGGGGGCGTGGCTTTAGAAATGACCTCTGAAGGGGCAGTGGCTTCCTTGAAAAGTGGTTCGGGGGTTTCCTTGGCAGTGAGTAAAGGTGTTTCCTTGACGACAGGAGGAGTTTCGACAGGGGTCTCCTTGACACCATGCATTTCCTTGACAACAGCCTCCTGGGTGATCTGCGGACGGGTTTCCGCATCAACAGGTGTAGGTGTTTCCTTGGCAACCACAAGGACAGTCGCCTTGATGACAGGAGCAGGGGTCTCCTTGGCAACAAGAGCAGCCGTCTCCTTCACAACAGGAGTGGGTTTCTCCTTGACGACAGGAGCGGGGGTCTCCTTGACAACAGGAGCAGCCATCTCCTTGACGACAGGAGCGGGGATCTCCTTGACAACAGGAGCGGGGGTCTCCTTCACAACAGGAGTGGGGGTCTCCTTCACAACAGGAGTGGGGGTCTCCTTGACAACAGGAGCAGCCGACTCTTTGACGACAGGAGCGGGGGTCTCCTTGACAACCGGAGCTGGCACTTCCTTAACCGCAACGGGAGTCTCCTTGACAACCTGAGGAGGGATTTCTTTGACAGTCCTATCAGAAATATCGGCGGTATACGGCAGTGCTTCTTTCGCTACGTCCGGCTCGGCGATAGGACTGACGTCTCTGTGGGCGGAGCCTGCTGGGACGCCGTTGAACAGCTGGAGCTCTTCGGGCTGCACTATTGGTGATTCCAGCGAAGGCTCCGCCTGGGGGGCAGCGACAAGCATCGTTACAGTCACAGGCCCCTCCTCTTTGCTTGTAGTGGGTGTGGCTTCGGCACCGTTCGAGGTGGGCGGTTCCACCACAGTGGGCTTTGTGTGGGTGTCGTCTGCAGGCGCTGGGGGCGGAGCATCTACTGTATCGCTTATCGGACTGGTAGGGGGCGGAGTCGGCAGGGCATCGGGTATCGGGCTTTCGCCTGGAGGGATGGGAAACTCCACTCTGGTTGTCATGGCGACTGCAGGTGTAGCGTTGTCACCATTGGGCTGAGTGCGATTTTTAAGCAATAAATGAAAATGTATTATTTGTAATGTCATTTGGACTGAGTGCGTAAATGACAAAATGTACATTTTTAATCTATGCAAAAATTATTTATAAATCATTTAAGTCAACATGAGAGTGAGTACAGAAAAATGAAAATTATAAGTAATTTGGTCTGACGTGAGAGTGAGTAAATGACGACAAAACATTCATTTAGATCTTCTTTATGCACCAAGAGCTTGTAACACTCCAAAGAGAAAGGAACAACTGAAATCGCATCATATGACCCCTTTAATAAATTATTTAGACTGATGTGAGGAAGTGAGGAAAGGACAACGAAACGTAAATTTTTACTTTATGCAAAAATGAAAATTATTTCTAAGTAATTTGAACTGACATGACAGTAAATGATGACAAAACATTGATTTTGAATGCAAAAAAAAATATTATTAACAAGTCATTTAGACCAACATGAGAGTGAGTAAATAATGATGAAATGTTAATTTTTAGTTTACGCTAAAAAATCTGAAAAGTCAATTGAAAAAATTTATTAAAAACTCATTTAGACTGACAACATGAGAGTAAATGACAAAACATTTTTAGTTTATGCAAAAATTAAAATTATTGATAAATCATTAAAACCAACATGAGGGTGAGTTAATTAACAAAACATGAATTTTTAGTTAATGCAAAAATGAATTATTATTTATAAGTCATTTGGACTGACATGAGAGTGAGTAAATGATGAACAAATGTTAATTTTTAGTTTACGCAAAAAGGAAAATTATTAAGTAATTTAGACTGACATGAGAGTAAATGACAAATTATTTTTTACTTTATGCAAAAATAAAAAGTCATTTGGACTGACAACATGAGAGTAAATGACAAAACGTTCATTTTTAGCTTATGCAAAAATTTAAATCATTTATAAATCATGAAAACCAACATGAGAGTGAGTAAATTAACAAAACATTAATTTTTACCTTATGCAAAAATGGAAATTATTTACAAGTCATTTGCACTTGTAAATATGAGAGTGAGTACATGACGACAAAATGTTGATTTTTAGTTTATGCAATTTAAAAAAAAAAATGTTATTATTTGGATTGACATGAGAGTGAGAAAATGACAACAAAATGTTAATTTTTAGTTAATGCAAAAATGAAAATTATTAATAAGTAATTCAGACCAACATGAGAGCGGAGTAAGTGACGAAACCTTTAATTTTTAGTTTATGCAAAATTAAAATTACTAATAAGTCATTTGGACCAACATGCGAGTGAGTAAATGATGATAAAGCATTATTTTTTACTTCATGCAAAAATTAAAAAGTCATTTAGACTGACAAAATGAGAGTAAATGACAAAACATTCACTTTTAGTTTAAGTCATTTGAACTGGAATGAGAGTGAGTAAATAACAAATCATGTTAATTTTTAGTTTATGCAAAAATTTAATTGTAAGTCATTTGTACTGCTATGAGTGAGTAAATGATGACAAAACATTCACTTTTAAGTCATTTGGACTGACATGAGTGTGAGTAAATGATGACGAAGCGATGATTTTCTTGGTTCAGCTGTGTGTTCATTACCTGTGGAGGCGTGGGTGTGGAGCCACTGCGACCTCCTGACATGATCTCTTCTGTGATGTCACGTCCTCCCTGATTAGGGTCTCTGATCCTGATCTACAGAGAGACATTTAGCACACGTAACAGAAGAAATGAGAACATGGCTGAGAGAGAGAGACTTTAACATGCAGCACATGGAAAAGACTAAAGCACAAATAAGTCACGATATAAACAAGAGAAAAACAATATCAGCGAGTGATTTAACCCAAGAAGCATTTCTCAGTGCTGTGAGACAAAATATGCTACGAATGTCTCTGACAAACACACACACACACACACACACCTTATAAAGAAGTAAATTGCACAACAGCCTGGAAACTTTCCTCGCACAAACTCAAATCTGACTGTTTGTCCAACTTATCTGCACTTTACTCAATGAATTATACATTGACTCGCCAGCCCTCCGAGGCAAACGCGCGCAGGCACACACACACACACACACACGAGGCAGCACATTCCCTACCTTCCTCCCCTCGGTCGGAGAGGTTGAGTTCTGCTAGGCCCGGCTCATCCTGGGGCTGGAGTTTAAACTCAGCCTAACTTGGACACACTAAAGTGGGCAGACTGCCTGGGCCGACGTGGGCCTCAAACTCTCTCTCTCACGTACAGGAGAGGAGGGAAGGAAAAACAGTGAGAGAGAGAGAGAGTTCGGCCTTGTGAAATGAGCACAGGAATGTGGAACGCCCACCACAGTGAACAGAGAGAGAGAGAGAGAGAGATTGGGTGGAGACTGAGAGCCACGTGGAGCGACAGAACTGAACCGAATTACTTTACAGAGACACTGACAAAGAGTTGGGGACTTTTTATTCCGCAAGACCGCATTAAATTTATCAAAAGTGACCCTGAAGACATATGCAATGTTTCAAAAGATTTCCATTTCAAATAAATGCTGTTCTTTTGAGCTTTCGATTCATCTGTGAATCCTGAAAAATAAAATGCATCACAGTTTCCACATGAACTGAATTTTGAACATTGATAATAATCAGAAATGTTTCTCGAGCAGCAAATCAGCATATTAGAATGATTTCTGAAGATCATGTGACACTGAAGTCTGCAGTAATGATGCTGAAAATTCAGCTCTGATCACAGGAATAAAATACAGTTTAACAGATATTCACATAGAAAACAGTTATTTTAAATTGTAATATTTCACAATTTTTACTGTATTTCTCATCAAATAAATGCAATCTTGGTGAGCAGAAGACACTTACTCCTAATTTTTCTACTACTTTAAAAAATAAAAAAATAAAAATAAAGCTAAAATAAACCAGATTATCAGTTACTGCTCAGAATTAAATGTAATCAACATTCAATCTGATTCTGAATCACTCAGCTTTATGACAGTCAATCGTTGTTTGAGGATACCATGAAAATAAAATAGAAATAAAAACAAAATTCTCTTATAAAACAGCATTTATTAACTCCAAATACAGTTCAAGCTAAAATTAACGTTTGAATGAATAATTCAAATTTTTGTTTACATTAAGTTTTTCATCTAATATTTCTATTTTATTTCAGCTTTATTTAAATTAACAAAATGCTTTTAATAGTTTACTATTAGGTAATAATCCTGGTAGCAGTCAGTGTTGGGTCAGTTACTCAAAAAAAAAAAAAAAGTAATTAATTACTAGTAATTAGATTACTGTACTGAATTACTTATTACTAATTATTTTCAACAGTTAATCCCACACCAGCCTTGACCAGTTAAACAAAATAAAAAAGACATGAAACTGCATATTTAATTCTTTCAAAGGAATAATATAAAATTGCATACATTATTCTTGAACTGACCAAAGTATTTAAAGGGAGACGTTTACATTAAAAACATACGTTTTAACATTAGATGTTAAATCTACTGTTGTGTTTATATACAAATGTCTTAACTGTAGGAGTAACTGTAATGAATAATTAATGAATGACTTAGTAATGCCTCACACCCAACCCTGCAGTCCTCTCTCTCTCTCTTTTCTCCTCCTCTCTTCCTTCTCAGTTTCTATTCCTCTGAAATGAAACCTCACTGACGGCCAAGAGCGAGACTCGAGGACTCAAAGTCCACCGGTCCAGCTGTGAGCTCCCAGAAAGCCTGATAACAGCACACTAACACATCACATACTAAACCATTAATGATCTATGATTGATGGATATCACTTCACAGAATCAATGGGTAACGCAGTTCTTCAGCAGAAATTGAATTAAATGTGATTCTTTTAAAAATTAAGATGTAATAATAACGCAGAGTGACGGCTTCAACAGAAGTATATATAATTGATAAACAAGTTGTAAGTTCATGTTAAACATCTATTTGGTGAAAATGAACAGAAATTTTACTTTTAGAACCCAACGCTTGCACGCAACGCTGTTACCATGGAGACGCATCCATCATCACGGCGACAGAAGTTCTAATTCTGAGGTTCCGTCTTTGATGCGGAATTTAAATAAAGATTGTATCACTGCGTTTGAAAACATTCTCTCAGCAGCTTTTTAAAAACCCAAAGCTTTGATTTAGCACCTTATGAGCTCAACTTGACAATCAGGTCTGAGCGCGACAAAACTAGCGATGCACCGAAATTAATATTTTACTGAACAGCTGAAAAACCAATTCATTAATGAATCAGTTTATTAATAGTTATTAACATTTAAATGAAAACTGTTGTATATAAAAATGTAAATTGCACATAGGGTGTTTTTATATCAATTTCTAATTGTTTCTACTCCAAATCATATAGGCTATAAAATATAAACATTTAAACAGTGGCTATAATAATTATTTTAAAGAAAACGTTTTTATTCAAACATACATTGGATAATGACAACAACAGGTTAAGTAAAAATATAATTAATATGTAATTAGGGCTGGACAACAATTCAATATTAATATATATCGCGGTATATATTTTTTCAATAACGGTGATATGATTTTTAAACACAGTTCCGATATTTCGATATAGTGTTTCCCATACATAGATGTTTTTATACTTCTGTTCAGTAATGGGTTAAAGCTGACGCGGCTGCCGCTTACACAAAGATGAAATATTTTTATCTTTGGCGGCGCCTGCCGCGAAGCGCCCGCGTTTTAAACTTCTTTCTCTTTAGATGTTTAGTTTAGTTGTTTAGTTACATCATGTCATTCCAAACCTGTATGTGAAGAAGATAATTTGAGAAATTCAAGAAATTTTTGTCCATACAGTAGAAATCAAGGGTTACCAAAATGGTTACCAAAAGGGTTACCAAAATATATTTTGTGTTCCACAGAAGAAAGCAAGTCATACAAGTTTGGAGCGACATGAGGGCGAGGAAATGATGACAGAATTTATTAGCAATACATTTCCTGCATTCTAGCTCAAAATCAATGCTTTACTGTCAAATGCATTTCTATGTGACAAAAATGCATTACTAAGTTTGTTGCATTTGCTGTGAATTCAGTAATATCTATTATTATTTGTTTCTGAAAATTAAGAGATATATTGTGATACAACTTTTGGCCATATCATTCAGCCCTATATGTAATCAGTCAATTATTTCGGCCCTCCAAAACTATTTTGGCAGAAACCAAAAATACATTTTTGGCCAAATATTTTTGGTTGCTGATATTTCAGTGCATCGCTAGGACAAACCAAACTAAGAGCTATTAAAATGCATCCAAAACACAAGAAACCACCATCCAAACACGGCCTCAGGAAAACTAATTATGTTGAAAATGTTAAGTAAAAATATTCAGGTGAAGAAAGAAAGAAAAAAAAGACAAATTAAATAAAAGAAAGAAATTAAATACAATTAATTAAATATAAGAAAAAAGAAACAAAGAAAAAAGAAGGAAAGAAACACATCGCCCAGTCACTTCAAAGCCCTGATTTGTTCAGTTTGTGTCAATTAAAGAGGCATGAAATTAACAAATTAATCTGGATAAATGACACACGGCTCACTCGAGCAAATTATTGTTAATTCAGAAATAAATTGCTGATAAAAATGTCAAATTAACAATCTTGACAGCTTAATTTCTGGTAGAGTGAGAGATGTTAGAGATGTGCACTAGATAAATAAATATTAGGAGAAAAACACATTCAAACAAAGGCCACAGAAAGCACTGAAGCTCCAGATGCAGAAGACGGATGGACGCATTACCTGCTTGCGTTCCCGTCTGGGCGGAGCTTGCTGCTGTTGAGGGGGCGGGGCCTGTTGCTGCTGGGGGGCGGGGTTAATGATGACGGGCGCCGGGGCAACGGGGGGTGTGAACTGGGGCTGGGCGGGGTAATACGCCCCAGCTGGAAACAAAAATGGCACAAACGTCTCAGACTTTCTCAAAATGACGAGCTGTCAGTGATTCTTAGCCTGGTAAACACGCACACACACATACAGCACCCTCCTTTAGCAAACACACAATCTGTCACAGCCAAATTTATATTTGAACTGCACACCCTCCAAAAACAGCCGCTGCTCTCATCTGCATACGCACTGGTGGTCTGTACAATAGAGTCGCTTTAATGTCCTTAAAGATCAAAAATTAAGATTCTGGTAATTTTTCCTCCTTTTTTTGTCATTTCAAATCAGTTTGCTGTTAAATACAGCAGCTCTTACAACAGCTCACAGTGATCACAACTGTCGAGGCTCCAAAAATGGTAAAAGTAGTTAATTTCAAGTCTTCTAAAGATATATGTGTGTGTGACCCTGGACCACAAAACCAGTCATAAGGGTCAATTTTTTCGAAATTTAGATGTATGCATCATCTGAAAGCTGAATAAATAAGATTTCCATTGATGTATGGTTTGTTAGGATAGGACAATATTTGGCCGAGATACAACTATTTGAAAATCTGGAATCTGAGGGTGCAAAAAAATCTAAATATTGAGAAAATCATCTTTAAAGTTGTCCAAATGAAGTTCTTAGCAATGCATATTACTAATCAAAAATTAAGTTTTGATATATTTACGGTAGGAAATTTACTAAATATCTTCATGGAACATGATCTTAACTTAATATCCTAATGATTTTTGGCATAAAAGAAAAATTGATAATTTTGACCCATACAATGTATTGTTGGCTATTGCTACAAATATACCCCAGCGACTTAAGCCTGCTTTTGTGCTCCAGGGTCACGCATGTGGATTTACTGCTTACAGTCTCCATACGTACCGTAATCAGCTGGACTCGTGCCGGGATAGAAACCAGGAGAACCGGCCACCTGATACTGCTGAGGAGTCACGTATGAGGGACGGTACTGAGAGAGAGAGAGAGAGAGAGAGAGAGAGAGACTGACTCATCAAAAACCATGACTGTCCCGTTTCAGGCCATTTTTCCAACCACCCAACAATCCTCCCCCTTTTTAGAGTTGCACAATTAGGAACGGTACAGAGTTTAGAAAGGGGAGGAGTCAGCAGAATCAATACACTGAGAGTGTGTGTGTGGTAGTGATGCGCGGATGGCGGTTTTATCCGCGGGCGCTGCGGATAATCCGCAGATCGGGTGGGTCGGGTAATAAAAAAATGCATTCTGATTATTTGCGGGTGGGTCGCGGGTGGATAAAATAAATCATTAATGATGCAAGGTTATCAAATGAAGGCATAACACATTAATTTTGTCTATCTTTTAATTATTGAAAATGAAACAACTTTTTTTTGGCAAACAAAGGGGATTTACATGTTTCAAGTTAAAACATGGAATAAATGTTGTGTGATTATTCCTTAAAAAAATACAGTTTTAATAATTTTAGTAGTAGTAATAGTAATAGAAGTAGCTTAATATGTACATTCTACTGAACAATAGTAATATATCTCTGGCACAATGTCTTCAAGTAAAACCGAACTTTTATTTTGAGGAGTTGCCTTGAAAACCTTTACATTTCTGTGTGTATATGATATGAGGCTAGTTTTACTCAAATCATATGGTAAAATGCTCGTGAAGTGACTCTCAGAACAGTTCTGGAGATTGTTCATGTATTATGTATTTATGTGCGTCACGCGTGCTTCAGTATGTGTGTAGTAAACGAAACCGTTCGTTAAATGGTCTTTTTGTGGCTTAATATTTACAGATACTAGTCCATATCGTGATCTGATTTAAGTGTAATGACCTACTTTTGATGAATTCATCCAAACTTTGGCAAATTCTGTGACATTCCGCGTTATACAGTAAATTCCGTTTTTATGACTGGATTCCGTGATTCCATCCGCGTTTTGGAAATCATAGGGCCCTATCATTTGTATAGAACATCTAGATTATTATAATTCATTCCCATTTAAAGAGTTAGTTCACCCAAAAATGAAAATTAGCCCATGTTTTACTCACCCTCAAAGCATCCCAGGTGTATATGACTTTCTTCTTTCAGACAAATATATACCTAGGATGCTTTGAGGGTGAGTAAAACATGGGCTAATTTTCATTTTTGGGTGAACTAACCCTTTAAGATGATTATATAAATCATATTTATAAATGAGATCTCTGGACTTGCTTTAAGTCATCAGTACACCAGTGTTATTTTAGTATCACTGATATACTATGAGTTTTGTTGTATAATAATTTTTTATTAGTTTTTATTTATTTGTATCTACTATTGTTTTTATTTCTTTTCGGTTTTCATTTTAATTTTAGTTAAAGTTGTATTCACTGTGTTGTGTTTTTGCCGTTTGTATTAGTTTTCTTTAATGTCTAAATAGTTTTTATTAAGTTTTAGTTTTTAGTTACAAAAAACAAAAAATGAAATATGTTCCCTTGGCAACTAGCTGAAATAGAGTTTTTTAATGTTTTATTTAAAGTAATGTTTTTACTTTGCAGTTGATAATATCTGTGGAAAATGTTATTTCCCAGGAAAAAAAAAATCATAATCTTTCTCACAATTTCATATAGAATATATAATAAATATAATCAATTACATAATTCGACAATTACATAAAAATATACATTATTATTATTATATTAACTCTTTCCCCGCCAGCATTTTTGAAAAAAGTTGCCAGTCACCGCCAGGGTTTTTGATGATTTTCTCAAAAATTTCATGGCCCCCAGAATATATTGTTGTATGAATATCTGAACATGCAATACATCAAAATAAAGAACTGACCCTTCACTTTTAAACAAAAAAAAATCTGTTTTATTCTAGCTTCAAGCATTCTTTTTTTATCAACACTTGAATGTAGGTAGGTTTCATAAAAAAGCAAAATTCTGATCAAAAAGCTGAGAAAATCGCATTTTATCAAATGCTACATCTGGATCATATTCAGTAATATTTATCAAAGCAAAGATGCAGTAGATTGCAGAAGCTCGCACAGTCTTTCACCACTTCCTGGATCCACATTTCGCTCGGTAGCATTAGGCAGTTTTCATTCATATGCGGTTAGTGTTGAAGATCGCATTATTTTTCATATGCATATGCTTACATATGAGATCTTCCTCGTCTGTGCTTTTGATCGAGTGATTCTAGACTCATTCAGGAGATGCGTAATAGCGCCCCCTAGCGTATAACAGCGAGAACGTGAAAACCCAGAAGATTCTGTGATGGCGGGGAAAGAGTTAATATATATTACCCTTACATAACTGACTGTAATTAGCTACATTGTGTTAGCTTGAAGGATAATTAACTATGTTTGACTATTTTAACTACTTTAAATGAAAAGCAGTTTGGCAAGTAGCATCACCAACTGCACCATGAAATTTGTGTCATTTACATGTTGCAATCATTCTGTTAAAAAATTATAAGAAAAAAATTAAATGTTCATATTTTCTTGTGAAATAAATTAACTCTTTAATTCATGCGTATGCAGCGATGCTGTATTATGGATATGTTTGCTCTTACCTGGCCAGGTATATAGTAAGCCGTGCCTTGTGAATTGGGGAAGCTGATTGGTTGCTGGGGAATCATCATCATCTGGGAGGGGCCAGGCTGAAACAC